CCGAGGGGGGCACAAGCTGGGGAGGGCAAGGGCTGGACCCTGCCACCACTCCTGCACCTCTTGTTTGGCCACCACAGCAATCTGAGGGGGGCAAGAAGGAGGTGACAACCAGACCAGGGGGGTCAACACTGTGGGGGGCTTTGCATTGCCAGTCGGGGGAGTGCAGGGGAAAGGTTTAGGCTGGTGTTAGTGCCAGAATGGGGGAGAGCTGCTAATGTCCCCCCACCATGAGCTGCAGCTGACCCCTCGCCCCCCATGTGCCCCCCTCCCAGGCTGCTGAACGAGAGCGAGAAGCGTCCCTTCGTGGAGGAGGCCGAGCGGCTGCGGGGGCAGCACAAGAAGGACCATCCTGACTACAAGTACCAGCCGCGGCGGAGGAAGTCAGTGAAGAACGGGCAGGCGGAGCAGGAGGAAGGCTCGGAGCAAACCCACATCTCCCCCAATGCCATCTTCAAGGCGCTGCAGGCCGATTCCCCGCAGTCGTCCTCCAGCATCAGCGAGGTGCACTCCCCCGGGGAGCACTCGGGTAGGTACCCACAAGGTGTTTCGGGGGGGTTAAGTCAAGGCGGAGAAAAGTTGCATCCCAAACCAGGCTGAAATTGGGGGTGGGTAAGGGGGGCAGACCCACAAATGCAGCAAGAAGGAGATGGCAGAGCTGCCCATGAGCATTGCCCATAGCAGGGGCACGCAAACGCTGCGGCCACTTCTACCTTTCTGCCCAAGAAACATGAATTTGTCCTTTAAAAAAGAAAATAATAATGAAAAGTGGGCCCTGCTTTTTCATCTCTGAAAGCTCAGTAATTTTACCCATTGCTGATAAGGGCTCGGGTCCATGTTCCTCGCACCTGAGGCTGTTTGTGTTACCCAGCGCAGCTCCTTCCAAACCCAATGCGCTCCCATGCAGCCACCCCACGGGTTAAGGATTAACAGCGTTATCACAGCTCCGGTGCAGAGGTGTCTGGCCATGGTAGGAGCAACACCCCCTTCACGCCTGTGCCTTTTCCTTCCTTCCACAGGGCAATCGCAGGGCCCCCCCACGCCTCCCACGACCCCCAAGACGGACGCGCAGCCGGGCAAGCAGGAC